ATGAATTAATTATATTAAATTTAGATTTTCTCCTTCCCATGCCCAAAATGAAGGGGTATCTCAACTTATCTGTTTGGGCATAGCCAAGCAACCCGATTGAGACTTGATGAGAACAGGAAACAATTGATGAATGGGTGGGCAGGTTGTTTAAGTCTTCGCCTGGCCATATCAGGCCATCACTTGGGATGTTTATTTGCTTAGGTTGTGTCTTGTAGAACAAATAATGTGACGCTCGAGCACTGGCAGCATTGACCCGATACTCAATAGAACTGAGTGAGAAGAGCATTTTGGCCTTATAGTATACACACATATTATGTACGTACATAGTATGTGCTTTAAGTCGACCAATTGGCAATTGACTATTGGCAAAAATTGTGTTTTATCTTTGGGTCTCATTATTTGCAACCGGATATCCTAGTGCACACACAAACGAGCACACTCACAGAGTTGACGAAAATGTAAATGAATCGTCCTGAATCAGCTGCGCCATATGTGCGCATGCAATGGCAATCTATAAATACATATAACCGGAATTGTTTGACCATCGGACAAAAGGCGCTTATCTCCTATCTATTGCCGTTGGCCGTTGGCCGTGCTTGTGTGGGTGCGTGTGAGCCTTGAGCCGTCGAGCGTAATTATTTATGCATTCGAAAGCCTTGTTATGCCCAACACACTTCAATTAGCTCACAAAGCCCTGCCGGAGGCAGCTCCTGTTAAAGACAATTAGACGTAGACAAGGCCCGCCTCAATGCCGTAGTTGAATTTTAATTGCATTTAATTTATCTCTCATTTGGATATTACATTTGTCAAACGTATTCGCCATGGATCCTTTTGTGCTACACATTAAAATATATTATATGCTCATTTTCACGCTCGCACTCTCTGGCTCTCAGTCTCTCCCTCTCTCCCCCTCTCTCTCTCTCTCTCCCTCTCTCTCTCTCTCTGACTTTAGAGCGTGATTTAATTACGCGAATCATTCGATTGCAATGACGGAGACTAAGCACACAATGCAGCAATTATTCCCATAATTGTTTCGAAAAAGCTGGCCGTAATGAACTCCCGCTAGCTGCTGCTGAAGCAGCTTTCAGCTTTTATGGCATATTTTAATTACCTATTAAAGTTCACTTTTATGCCATTTGCTTAGCCTCACAGAGCTTGTTAAACTCACTCGTTTATGGACACGTTAGTTCGCCTTTGAGTTTTATGATACAAATCTGTTTAGCTTAAAGCTGCGAATGGTCCAAGTTGGATGTTTTGTGCGCCTTAAAGAGAAGCCCAATTTGCATTTATGTGTATCTGCAATATAATGCTGTTAAATATTAAGGCAAACTGACCCTAAAAAGGGTTAGCTTGGATAGGGCCCCATCCATGCCCCCCCTCCATAAGTGTTTGCTAACTTGTTTCTAATTTATTTATCAAAGTTTTTCACATCTTAATTATGAAACATCATTTTTGGCAAGTCAGCCAATTGCAGTCAATTACATAAGCTTTTGCCTGTCTCGGGCCTGTCTCAGGGCTGACTTATATGGGCCTCCAGCAGTTATTTGTTAAGTTGTTTTCGAGATAAATTGCAGGATTACACGAATCACGCTCAGCTCTAGCTAGAGCACAGATTCCAGCCGCCCGAACGGCAGGCGCACTTGCAATGCATCGATACTTTGCCTAATGTATGACATTAAAGTGACATTAAAGCTACATAAAAATAAAAAAAATAAACAACGAAAACAAAATTTATATGGCAAGCTGTAAAAATGGCCCACTCGACATCCGCATACACACACACACACACACATATGCTTGAGCAACGTCTGGTTATTTGTTTATTTGATTTCAGCTTGCTTCAACGTGCGTGTGTGTGCGTGTGTGTGTGTGTAGCGTGGCATTAAATAACAGCGTTCTTTGCGCTTGAAGAACTTTTTCAGCTTTCAGCCCCTTTGCCTCCACTCCCCTTCCGTTTATATAGATAAATTTTTTGTTCAGCCTCCTGCGCCATAAATTATGCTACACTTTATTATTTTGTAAAACAAGCAACATAAAACTTTACCTTTACCTTTAGCTCAGCGCCAGTTCATGGTCCAGCATGCTCATAGATGCTTTGGACCCGACCCTTTTCTTGTTTTTTCTCTTCTTTTTTTTTTTTTTGTTACGTTACACCGTTTGTCCACAAAATGTCAGTTATAATGGTTTACTTGTTATCAGCAACAGAAGCAGTCAGTATGTATGTGTGTGTCTGTGTGAGGGTGTGCATATGTATATGTCGCTTGCTCGCCTGCCTGTGAATATACATATTAATTGGTATTTCCGGGAAATGACTGACATTTACCGAGTAGCAACAATCGACAATGGCTGGGAAGGGGTTTGCGTATTTATAGCGAGCACCACATCAAGCTCATTGATGTCTTGTTAGACTGGTCTTTCATCTATTTTTACTCAGTTTGAGCTCATTTACGTTAGAATATTGCAGAGACGTAATAAGAGCTAAATATATCTTATAACTGGAACATAGTACACATACAGTTGTATCGTACTCTTTTCAGAATATAACATTGAACATTTGTAATACCTTACCTGAATCTCTCTCCTCTTGAGAATACACAAATTTAAGTTAATTTCTGTTTAGATTAAATTATTTCATTAAAATCAGTTAGTAAGTAGACTCTAGTTGGGATGCCCGACTGGGAGATCCCCAATGATCTGTAAGTTTATTATTTTATTGTCAACTAAAAAGTCCATCGAAGTCACACCAAAATCAAATAACATGTTGATAAAAAAAAGTTATTCAAATTCTTAAGATCGGTGGATTTCAAACCGCCTCTACTAGCACCGTCATTGCACTGCGAGAGCGATCGTTAGCAAATTAAAAAACGAATAAATCTGTTAAATATTCAAACACAATTCAAACGTAAATCAATCCCAATTGTGATTCTTAATATATGCTAAAATTCACGTACTTAAAGATATGTATGTATGTGTGCACATGCATAGAATATTGTAAAGGCTCTGCTTGGGGCTGCTTGCCAAACGTTTTGTTCGCACAATTCCGAGTGACTTTGCTAATTTTGATGAACCTTTCAGCTGCCATATTGAATTTGTGACATTTAATAGAAAAAAAAGCCAACTCATTCATATTTACAAATTTGGAGACGAAATCCAAAATTGGGCATAAATCAAAATTATTATTATAGAGATATATAGATATATAGAGCTGAAGCTAATGAGCAGGCTGTTCTATTTTAGCCTAGGCAGTATTACTTCTGATCGTTAATCTTTGTCAATGCTTACTGTAGGCTTATTATATAGCCTAAACACATTAAAAATATGAAATCAGATTAAAGTGTGTGTAACAAGCAGAAGAAGGCGTGGCAGATCTTTAAATATTTTATTGGTCAGGATGACGTATTGAGTTGATCTAGTCAAGTCCGTCTATCCGCATGGCCGAAGAGCTAGTGACCTTAAATCTTTTTTTACAGGTCCGAGTATAAAATACGATCTTTTATTATATCTTATTACAATGTTTTCGATTTAAAGGCTTATCGAAAATCAGCTATAAAATTATATTTGCTACAAATTTAGAGCTCCCTTCATTTATTTTACAGAACTTCGATTTTTATATTATATATATTATATTTTTGATACCGGCCCCAAATCCATCCCTTTCCCTGCACATTTGCAAAACGCGTATTGGATGTGTTAGATGTTGCTTCTTGTGTATGCAGTAGAGAGGCAAGGCATTCTTCAAAGGGGTTCTCCAGGAATCTCGACTAGAGGTTTTTTGTTTTAATTTTCCTTCTTTGTTATTGTGGTGCAATCGTTGTCCTATTCTGATTATGAGGATCACATTCATATGGGCATTTTACGCTATTTGCACGTAAGACCTTTATCTTGACTGAATTTTCCCTTTGGTATACTCTTTTAAGTGCCCAACTTTGATGCGAATAGAACTTGACGCATTTATGAGGCTTTGCAAGTGCTTTGACTACAAATGTGATGTCACTCAAACGGTCGTCAATCTTTTCCTCAAGATTTAATCGTTGGCTGTTATACTCTTGAAATTTCGCAAGGAGATATAACAGCTCTATATTTGAGCTACCCGATTTCTTTGCTCTAATTAATTTACTCAACTTCTCAGAGTATTCTTTATTATCCTCATAGTGCCCGAGCTTAGAGTTTATTTGTACATCAATTTTCGCTATGATGACCTTGCGAGCATTGTAGTCCTTCGAGCCATTATTATGGATTTGAACATGGCTGCTGCTGCTGTTGGTATTTTTGTCTATTATTTGTATCGCACGCTGGACACTGGGCTCAAATGGGCAAGGATTGGTATTTTTACGTATAACCTTTTGCTTGACTTCGTTTGTCCTTGTATATGCTCGTTCGAGCTCCAGCTTTTGTTTCAAGTAAAACCTCATGCATTTGTGGTTGCTGGGGAGTCTTTTCATTTCAAAGTCGAGCTCACTCACGCGGGCTTCCATCAGTTGCTCCAAATCTAATCGTAGGTTGTCGTATGCTTTAAATTTGTCAGCAATTAATACTTTCGCTGGAAGCGGTTTTCCCGAATGCCTAAATAGCCTCCATTCAGTGAAGTGATCCGTATACTCAGGGTTGTCTTTGTAGTGGCCGAGCTGCATCTTAAAACGCGCATCCAGTTTAGCTAGGACATATTTCTCATCTTTTAAAGTGCGCTGCAAATTGAGATTATATATTGAGTTCGCACCAATTTCAATTGCTCTCACACCAAATTTCGTAGTTTTCTCACTTTACGGGTTTGTGCGGCGAGTATTCCATGAAGCAAAATAAAAATAATCCACCTCCAGCTCATTTTAGTTGTACTGCGAGACATTCCCTACGTATACCAGGGAATGTATATATGAGATTTTATTGAACTACACTTGTTACGCTATTTTCCCATTAAGCTGAAGCCGAAGCAAATTTAGAATGTGGAACAAATTAATTAGAGGCTCATACATTAGCTAAGCTAGATACATATATGTATATAGTAATAAATAATATGTATATTCATAACGAATCTATGAACCTCTCAATAATTGGTTCCTCTTTATACTCATTCACGAAAGTGAATCAGTATATTGGTTTTGTGAATTCTCCTATATTTTGGACACTATTGATGGCAGAGACCTCAAATTTTGTATATATACTCGGACTGATCACCCAAGACCAAAAAGTTTTGTCGGATATATGTCCGCCCACAGGGGGCGTGGCAAACCGCAAAAGTTTATATCTCCTAAAGTATAATAGCTAGAAGCTTCAAATTTGGATAGTTGAGTTACTGGTAGCCTCCTCTATCGATTCCCCAAAAATAATTTTTACGCCTCTTTAGGGGCGTGGCATATCGAAAAATACCCTGTAATTTTCACATTTTTTTAGGGTAAGCATTCAAACTTTGCAGTTAGGGTAACGTTATCTCTTTCTAAAAACTGACCAAAAATGAGGTGTCTACGCCCAGTTGGGGCGTGGCAAATCGGAAAAACCTGTATATTCTACAGTATTAGAACGAAACTTAACTACTAAATTGTTGATGGGATGTGAATGAGTATTCCGCAGTCGGTAACGCCCGACTGCAACGTTCTTACTTGTTTTAAATTAGCTTCAGTTTACTTTTTACTGTTAAAACACCACTACTAACTCGACTTTGATACTTTAGCAAATAAATACTTAAAGAAGTAGCAGTCATGATTGTTTGTCTACCTTGTACCCTGCGAGAACCTGATATTCCAATCATGCTATGCTCCTTTTATGCACACATACAAACACGCGTATAGGCAAGTGCTCTAGTACTACTTTGGGAACTATATATGAACTCAACTATCAACTTTCATTACGGGATAATATCATGTAAATGTAATATTACTTGCCCAAGCACAAGTATCTAGTATTTATTTGCTAATTTAAGAGAGAAGTAGTATCCCAAATCTAAAACTCGCAGAGATAAAGAATGTGATAAGAAAGAAATGTGATTATATTTTTTTCTATATATTCCGATATATAGAAAGAATATTATATATTATTATGCATCGATATATAGAGACAATATTATATATCGATACATAATAATATATAATACTGTTTCTAAAACTAAGATATGTCCGTCCATCCGTCCGTCTGTCTGAATATTTGAAGACATCGATTTCATAAGCTAAACAAAAGTCGATAACTATTCCCATTTATTGTATCGATTAAACCCCTATCGAAAATCACTTATAAACTTGTCTCTCTCTATTGACTTTTAGATATACATACTTAGATTTATGTGTATTTTATACAATATTGATTTTGTAATATTTTAAATACCGGCTCCAATTTAAACCAAGCCACCCACTGAAGATCCGTTACAAGTAGAACTAATTGTGAATGGGTTGGCATGTTTTATAAACTGACAAACACTCGATAAAATATGTAGATCTTATGCTGCAAGTTTCATTAGTTTATAGGGAGATTAACAGTAACTACCCGAATGATTAATACACTGTTCAACAAATTCTAAGAGAACAAATGAAAATGCAAAATACAAAACTACATATTCCATATTTCAATATGCCACGACGAGTGGGGCTATTCAATTTGCGTCCGCACTCACTACGAGTGCTGCAAATGTGACTTACCTCAATATAATAACTAAATAGTAACAGCAAAACAAGCTAGAGTCGGCTGGCGTTGGCAGTGACCGACCGGGAGATACCCTGACTGTGCGAAAGGCTAGCCAACGTAATCATGTGTAGGAATGCAAATTCCTAAGCGTACCGGCTCTCTGCTGCCTGCTACATACAATTTCGGCCAGGAATTGTGCCCTGGAATGCTAGCATGGGCAATGGGCTCGGCATATAGCAGAAAAATAAAAACGAAATCAAACTGCTGCCACACGTGGCAACTGGGTCCCCAAGCCAGCCAGCCAGCCAGGGCTGGGCAGGGCAGGGCAACTTGTATTTATTGTTCAAATTTTGTGACTTTTCTGTTGATGTTATTGCCACTTTTGCAGTTGCCGTTGCCGTTGCTGTTGCTGTCACTTTTTATTTATTTTAGCCCCGCACGGCGCCCAACGCCTCCGGCTCCGCCTCCTGCCGCTCGACATCCTGTGCTAAATATGTTTCAAAGGAAATTGATTTGCGGCAACAGCAACAAAAGCAGCAGCAGCAATGAACAAAAACAACAAACAAGAAGTCAAAACATCAACAACAAGTATATAGGATGGATAAACTAGATGGGACTGCCCGACTAGCAGCTACCCTGTCTAATGCAGCTGTGCAGAAGCTTGGTGAAATTGATTATTCTGAGACGAGCTCAATGGGAAGATAGGGCAAGGCTGCTGAATGGGTTTCTATATGTTGATTCGGATATCGATGACAAATGATGACAATGATAATGATAATGACAATGATAATGAGTCGAACATAAGATAATAGCTTTGATTTCGACTGGGACTAGATTGGTATAGCTCTTAGGACTACCTACTATTCCACTAGCATCGTCTTTGAGTGTTATCTATAGACACGCCCTCTTCCATTGTCAGCAGCAAGTACGGGGCATAAACAGCTTTATTTTATATGGCTTTCGCCCGGTGAAATTTCCTCTTTGCCAAAAATTGCTCGTCACGCTGCACTTTGGCTGACCCACAGACTAACCACCAGCAAGCCACCCAGGCGGACACACATAAACACAAACACACACACACACAAACACACACACACACGCATTCACAGCGTTGTCTGCAATTTTCTTGACAGTATGCCCCATCAATCCATTGAAACGTTCCACATCCACATCATGCATGCGCCCCGCTCCGCCCCGTCCCCCACTTGCATGTGAGACCGAGACGAGGCAACTTTTGTGACAGCGACAATACAGAGGCGCGCCCCTCCCCCACTGGCAGCTCGGATGGATGCCAACGCCCCATCGGCCGCTCGCCGTACAGTCTATAGAATTTATCCGCTGCGCTACTTTTCAACAGAGAAACATAAATTGTTTGGCTAATTGCAAGTGGCTTTCGTCTGTTGGCGCTGCTGCTGCGAGCGACGCCGGGGAGCAGAGCAAGCAGAGAGCAGCAACAAAGAGCCCAAGTAGCACCGACTCGCGAACAAAGGACCATCTTCTCCAGCTCCAGCTYCAGCTCCAGCACTAGCTTCGTCTTCAGCTTCACATTTAGCTACAGTCACTTTAAGTTTACAGAGCTCGTCTTTCTCTGCGCGTAATTGGCAGAAAAAAAAAAAAAAAACTTGGGCACTGGGCGAGAACATGGGCAGAACATGGACAGAACATGGACGGAACATGGACAGAGATGGCAGTGATTGGGCATTGGAGCTACAGCTGCCTTTTGGCAGCCAAGAACATTGTCAGAGGTCACAGTTCAGCTCACACTAGCTGCTTACGAAAACGTTTTATTTGTTGTCGTTATTATTTTATATTGCAGAATACTGAAATGCAATTCAGATGGATCGAAAATATAATATCTTTGTACACTTCGTTAGAAAGAGAGGGAACGAAATTTAAAATTCCAATATATAAATATTT